CTGCAAGGAATGGAGGAAAGCAAGGGTGGACTGAAAAAAAGGGAGTCCAGGAGGACTGAGGCTAGTCTGGGCCACCAATGTGTACTTAAATAACAATGAAACCTGAAAAACACACCACACCATACAACCCTCACCACTGCCCACACAGGTAACGCCACGTCTCGCTGGCTATCCCTTACCTATAACAGAGCACCTCCCCTGTCAGCTGAATCCTGCTAGCAACAGCAGAAGCCAGGTCCTTCTCCCCTCCTCCCCACCCGCTCCCTGCGCACAGAGCAGACAGCCAACCTTTTCCCCTGGTCCAGGTGAAGGATCGGCTGAAGGAGCAGCTGCTCCCAGCACCCTCTGCGTCCGGCACAGCTGGCTCGCTTTGCCGAGGCTGCGAGTGCACCTCCCCACATTTGCCGCTGCTCTTCAAAGGCATGATGTACTTGGGCAGCCCTTTGTAGAACCACGCACCAGACCTCTTCCAAACCTGTTGGAGACACAGACACAACACCTGAAGCCTGGGTTTTTACAGCAAGAGAGCACAGCCAGCGCCAAATGAGCTCCCCACCAAGCTCGGCCCAGCCAGCCCCTCTGAGCTACCCTGACCCCACTCCAACACAGCCTGCAGGCACAGCACCTTCCAGCTCACATAGTCCAGCAGTTCCCACACCCTGCATCTACCACAGCATCCCAAATTCCTCCCTGCATGTTGTCAGCCCAGCTTCACCTCAGTCCTTCTTCCACCACTAAAAAATCACAGATCTGAGTAAGCAACAGGCACAGACTGAAGGAGGAGCAGAGGGTGATCGTGCAAACCACAGAGCTTCTTATGTTCTCTGAGTAAAGACTAGATATTTCTCTGATGCCATGCCTGAGTCACACGCATGTTCCCAGGCTTACTTCAAGGATATTGGGATGAAGTTCCCTGGCCTGTACTAAGCAGCAGGCAGTTCAGATTCTGCATCTGTTGCTTTCCCATTGAGAATCCACAAAAAGAAAAGCTTCCTGGAGGGAGCAGGCACATGCCATGGGTGGCAACAGCAACAGCACATGCTCTGCTCAGAGTAAAACAAGTCTTGCGCTGGCTGGAGGGGCATCACATCCTGACAAGTCTCTCCTCCTGGGCCAGGTCCCTCAGCCTCGATCACTTTACTTCCAAGAGAGTCAAAGACCGGCAGCAGCTGGAGGATGTGGGCAGCAATGCCAGGACAGCAGAAACGCTGTCTCCTGCGGCACCAAATGGCACAACCTTGGTGTTCTTTTCACAGAGCAATTCAGGCTAAGCCAGATCATTTAACAATTGTGCTTGAAAACCCCAGAACGAGAAGAACAACACTCAAATAACCTGAACTTGCAGTAGCAAACGGACTGTGAGTGCTAAACTGTAATATCTCCTGTAAGAACGCACTCTACTCTCCAATTTAGTTTTAATGCAGCTTATGATGAAGGAGCTCTATTAAGTATATTTAATATAAAGCCTGCTGTGAGCCAGAGGAAGAGAAAAGGATGGCAGCTCAGACAAGGAGAAATGGCCTCTAAAAACCTGATTCTTTTGTGCCTTCCGGCAGCCTAATAATGAGCTAATGAGACAAGGAGGGCAAAAATAAGTTAATGTAGTAAAAATATCATTTTCTATTTCATGCAATGGAGTACAAACTTCGCACTTCTGTTCAGAGTGAAGGAGATCATCAGTGTTTCTACTGCAAGTTCCCAAGCTTTTTGCATATAGTATCACCATGATAGCAACGAGTGCAAATGCAGCTATCCCTAATTACAGCAATATGTTTGCAATTTGCATTTAGGGCTTAATCAAAGCAGAGGGCAGTGACAACACCTGGCACTCAAGAGAAGTTCTTCTGATGCAGGCACAAAAAGCAGGACACCACCATCACCATTTCTCTGATGGGAGGAGATTGCTCAGCAGGTTGCCCAGTTCCTAGCCCAGAGCCATCAACACAGAGAACTAAAATCTCCCTTTGGGGTCTTGAAACGCAAGTGAAAGTGACCCGAATTCAGAGGGGAACCTGGAAGCATGCTTTTTAAACGAAGAGCCCCCAGCAGAAGAAAGCAGAGTATCACTGTGGCCTAGAATGCACATCAGTTACTGTAAGAGTGCAAGAGAGAAGCTCGTGTGCACCACAGTAGGATGCAGAAACCAGGAGATGAGAGCACCCTGCAATTACACCAACACTTTCCGTCTGGATAACAGCCCAGCAGGAGAGCGAGGCTGCCATCCAACTGAAAAGCTGGGAAGCCAGTTCCCCAAAAGAGAGAAGACTGCAAGTTCTTTTCTACAGAGGAGGCCCTGGCAGGCAGGACACTTCAGCTCCTTCACCAGCACACCAACAGCCAAAAACAGTGACCCAGCCAGCCAAGGCACAAGCTGACGTAGCTCCTTCTGTCCCCTCTGCTAGCAACTAAGGACTGCGCAGCACTTGGTACAGCTTGTACAACAGCACTCGTCAGTGCACCACAGAGACCCTGGAGGAACCTGCTCTGCTATCCCCGCAAAACCAAGACTCGGGAAATGCAGTCTGTTTTTTAAATCTGGGACAGATGTCTCTGCATGGAGCTTATCCCCCTGCAGCTCAGGTAACCATCTGCAGGCTGGCAAGCCCTGGTCTCCCTTGTCTTAGGAAGGTGGGAGGCCTTGGGCACGGCTGCACACGCAGGATCACAGAATCACAGAATGGTCGGGGTTGGAAGGGACCTCTGTGGGTCACCCAGTCCAACACCCTGCCAAAGCAGGGTCACCCAGAGCAGGCTGCACAGGACCTTGTCCAGGCGGGTCTTGAGTATCTCCAGAGAAGGAGACTCCACAACCTCCCTGGGCAGCCTGTGCCAGGGCTCCGTCACCAAACAGGGACCGCTGCAGCCACGGAGATCGCACCCCGGCCAGGGCCGTGGCTTGAGGAGGGCAGGCTGTCCGTCCCCTGCCGCACACCGGGTACCTGGGCACACAGAGCTTCTCTGCACAAACTGCTGAGAGCAACCCTCTCTTACAGTTTTTCTCTGAACAGAACTTGCAACATCTGTAATTTAATTTGAAGCACTGAAGAGACCTATTATCTTCAGGCTAACTACAATTTAGGCACACAATAAAACCAATCAGACACAGCAAGGACTGCTGTAAGAAAAGACTGGTCACTCACACTTTTCTCACCACTCCAAAGCAAGTGCAGTTATAGAAAGAGTTAATGATATAATACACACAGCTCTGATGCAGTAATACTAGTATAAACTTGATTCTCTGCATACATATTCACTTTAAATTGGTGCTTCTAATAGAGTTTGGTCTCGTTACAGCAGTACTGAAACTGTTTTCAGATCAGCCCTAAAATAGCTGCAGCAAGATGCTCTCCCCTATGTTAATTCTGTACCTCTGCTCCCCACAGGTTAGCAGTGTGCCCCATCCAAAACGACCGCGTTAACGTTCTCCTCTGCACATCGGCACACCGGTTCGTTTTAGCATCCGTGCAGCAAAACAAATCAATGTCACTGACTGCCGTTGATAGCAGTTTCATTGATCGCCAAGAGTGGCCCAACAGCAAAGTTCTCGCTTGATTTTAAATTAATAAATCCATAACAGCATTTCAAGAATATAACTCCTGTTTATTAGCAGGAGTTTGCTCTTTCCAAGGAGGAGAGAGCTTTGCTCCCACCAGTACTGTTGGCACGCAGGGTGAAATCCTGCCCCATGGCAGCCTGAGTGTGAGCGGAGCTGGAATTTCATCGGCAAGAGGGACAGCCAGCCACTGCCAGCTTCCTGCAACAACTCAAATTTTTGTTGTCCCTTGCTGTGAGCGCTTGACAGAGGGGAGTAAAGATCTGTACCTGCATTATCCCAGATCAGGACAGGATGGCCCAGCGCATGGCTCAGGACGGCTGCAGCTGCTCCTGGCCCGCTGCACTCAAATGGGCCCAGCCAAACACAACCAAAATCCACGCTAAATATTGACTTCCTTCAGCCTCCTGTCCTTCTGCCTCCCCTGACACATAAACTACCGTAAAGCGAAGTGGGGGAGGACACAGGGGAGAAGAGCTACTTTAGCAACAGACTCCCTTTTTTATTACTTCAAACCAATTTAACAGCCGTGACCATGACAAGTCCAGAGAGCTCAATGCCTTTTATAACCCTGATAATATTCCTATTAAAGTTGCATCAAGCCATCATTACAGCTACTGGATGAGACAGTCAGAAGCAGACGTGTGTTTTTATCTAGCACATTCAAGTGGAGCCTGTAAATGGGACCTAACGGAGAACCACTGGGCCCTGATGAAAAGCATGTTACTGCTCAAATTTCTCCCTTCTCTTTCTCCTTCTCTGAACATACAAGTGCTAAAACAAGCTCCTAAACACAGAAAATATTAGGACTTGCTCCTGAAGGGACGTGGTCACAGCTGAAGGTATCATAACAAACACTTGTGGCCCCCCCCCAGAATTTGCTTCACCAAGCCATGAGTCCCCCAAACAGATGCTTAGAAAGGGTCTTGGCTGCAAAGCCACATTTTGCTCTACCACCTTCTGCTCGCCACGCAGTAGCTGTTCTCGTGCTGCAAGCCCCTTCCTTCGCAGCAGCCTGGGCTGTGCGAGAGGAAAACAGCTACCTTTCGCTTCCCATGCCGACACCAGCATTATTGGCTCAATCCCCCAGCAGCTGAAAGGTGGGGGAGCAGCTTCTCATGGGCTACAATGCTTAACGAAGAGAAAGGCACCTGCAAATGCAACCCCCCTGGGAGGACTTCGTTGCCATTGCCTTCACGCAGCACATGCCCACACACTCACTTTGTCCCAGCTCTCCACCATGGCTCTGGCACGCTGCAAACCACTGGCAGGGAGAAAGAGCAAGCGCTCTTCAGCTTCGTTATTTGCATTCATCTGCTTTTCCATAACACAGAGATTTCCAATTACATTATTTACAGCAATCTGTTGTCAACTCCCACATTCAGCACTTGAGGATGAAGAAAATTAAAAGGCAGTGAAATTGCTATTCGGAGCTTTGTTTCCGGAATAGCAAAATCTATCACACCTCTGACCCCAACGTTTCTCAAGCTGCAACGGCTGCCAGCCTTCAACGATTTATCATTCCCCTCTCAATCAGGCCTCTTTTTTTTCCCATGGCTCTATTCTAGAGGACACTATTTTGAGTCTAACCACTTTCTACCACCCCCCAAAATAATACGGCAGGCTATTGATGAGTTCTTTGAATTGCAAACAGGTGCACATCACTTCCATTCAATCCAGAGTCACCCAAAATAAACACTCCCCTCCATCAGCATGGTATTTTGCCAAGAAATCATCATGGCAGGCAGGAATAATCCCAGACTACGTTGGTTTATAATGTTCAAAATGGTACGAGCATATATGTGAAAAGGGAAGCCCTGGGGGCAAAAGGGGAGGAGACAACTCTGTTCTTCCAGCACTGTAACCTTCCTCTGCATGGTTTATTGTGATAAACCAAGAAATTCAGCCAGCCATGAAAATGCCGTTTAGTGGAGAAGAAATTAAAGGGAAAGTGAAGCAGAGGGGGCAAATTAAAACTTTAACAGGTCCCTGATAGCTGACACTCGCTTTCACATTCGATGGGGTTTAAAAAAAAGCTATCTCCCCCTACCCTACTTAAACCGTTTTTATTATCGCTACAATTTTGGATGTGTCAATTCAAATGTAAATGTGCACAAACGCTTCCAAGAGGATTTTAATTACGATGATAGCATCGCTAATTATGGATATAAAAAAAATATATATATAAAGTGGTAATGCAGGAAGGTGCTTTGCAGAACCTGGTGGTATCAGTCAAAACAAGGCTGTGCAGAGAGTTAAGCAGCTGGGCAGGGATTTGACAAAACACAGCAGGTCCCATTTCCCCTTCAGGCCAGGGGGTAACAGGCAGAATTCAGCCGCACGTGACTAACTCAACATGGGCACTGCTGCCCAAGCTGTTATCAAGCTCACGTGCTCTGCCAGAGGCCTGGCAGCAGGGAACCGTTCCAGTCGTATCACAGCTCCTCCCAGGCAGTTTTACTCCTCAGATAGCCGCTGCAATAAGCCTGTTTTGCTGGAGGACTTGCTCCCTTTTCTGCCCTGCACTCTCATTCTCATGGATGCATCACTGCTTCACTGCCAAGTTAGCAAACAGGCTCATTGCAAACCCCCTGCCAACGTTTGCTGCAGTCAGGGATCAGCACCCCTGATCACGCCACAGGACATTATACACACACAGAAACTGGGCTGCCCCGAGGAGGACCAGCCCTCCATGCTCAGTCTCCAGAAAGGCAATGCAAGATGCAAAGCCAAGAAAGGCAACGCGGCACATGGGGGAGGGAAGGGAGATTCTTGCCCTCCAAAGTGCATGTGAGCTTGCCTGAATTTGCTTCTACCCTTGCTTGCAAGAACAAGAAAACACAATTCACACCTGCTTTAATTCCACTGCCCTCAAAAGATTTGCAAAGGAAAACAGCCACAGAATCCTGGAAGCATGAAAGGGAGTTTTCAACAGATGCTTCTGCAAACAGCTGGGACAAGTGATATCTCTAACAGGCCAGTTCTGGCTAAAATGAGGTCTACCTTACTCCAGGAAGAGGAGATGTATTTATGACACAGGCGTGTCTGCTCGTCCTTGGGGATGCTCTCTTTGCCAGTAGGAACATCCAGGCTCTGTCAGGTCCTGGCCATGTTAGAACACAGTACTTTCCTCCCATTGCCTCTCGGGCACCTTGGAGACCCTCACCCTGCATGTGCCCATCACACTCAGCAGCTCGAGTGCTGCCGAACATGCCGGTTTGCTTCTGGATGATTGGGACACAAGCAGCAGGCAGAATCCATTAATCACCTCCACTCTCCAGAAATAAGACGGTGTCAGAGCGACTTGCTCCTCATTGCTATGCAGCACAGCCTTCCCAGTGGAGGTTTTCAAGGAAACAGCAGCAAAGAACATTTCTGAATGGCTGAGGCTGGGATTCCCAAAGGGATCTGTGGGCATCAAACATTCTGAAAAATTGATGTAAACAATAGATTGTTACTTTCATCTTCATTTTCACCCAGGTATACTGATGATTTAATCATAACTGAAGCCAGCACAGATTCTGTCCACACAGCAAAAGGGGCAAGACAACTACCATGTCACTAAACTTACGCTAGCTTATATCAAGTCTACAGAGATAAACAGTAACAAGGAAGATGGAGGGATGAAAGCTTTAGGATGTATGAACAATGCCGCGCCCTTTAGCTGTTAGCTAGTGTATATGAACGTCCAACCTCCTATCCTGGCTTGAGCTCCTGGTGGGCCACACAACTCAGGTGCTCACTCAGTGCGTGGCAGAGGCTAAAGGGGACAATTACAGTTCTAGGCTCTTGTCCCAGCCAGATGACACTTATTAACTCTAGCCAACATCATTTAGTCCATCCAGGTTTCCAAATGACCTCCCTTTCTCACTTCAGAGCATGACAGTCTCTCACTAACAGAGTTGAAAGCTTCATAAATATCATGCCCAAATAGCTTGAGCAGTGGCTCAGAAAATTAGACGGCGATCAAAGTGCTGATGTGGAGGGAATCACCTAGCTTGGAAACGCCACATCTCATCACACCAGCTGGGGTGGGCACCCCAGACCAGCATCAAGCACACATCCACTAGAGCTGGCCAAGTTTAGGGGCCTGAGCACAGCCTGACAAGTTGGGAGGCGTTGCCAGAGCTCTGTGGCCTGGGACAAGCCTACTTTAAGCATGTGCTTCGTTGGCATGGGTTAAAGAAGAACCTTGCTCAGTCACACTGTGCATTGAGAAGTGGAGAGAAGCGTGGTATTGGCTTGTTACTGCATCACACAACCCAAAGTGCTTCGGTGAAGCTCCTGAAGCTCCCTTCGGTGAAGGTACCTGAAGCTCCCTGCCTGGATCCCAGGAAATAAAATGGGGCTGATACCTACTCACCATACAGGTTAGACAGAAATGAGACTATCTGATCCCAAAGAGCAGACATCCATCTACACTCATTGATAGAAAATACAACCTTCAGCAAAGAGCATGGCCAAATGGGTTTGGTCCAGAGCAGATGGCAATACAAGACAGATCCAGATCACAGAAACAGACAGCAACAAGGAACTGGTTGTGAACACAAGCCCTTAAAAGAAACCTGGTAATTTACTGCAAGCCCTGCAATATCACAACAACACTTGAATTGGCTTCAGGGACTGCACTACAACCAGCCATCAGCCTGAGGCCCAAGAATCTCATCTCTTCCTTACACAAACTCTTAGGGAAGACCTGATCAAAGCCACCTTCCAGGCACTTACTCTGATATTGCCTCAACTTCCTTGCCGCAGCTGACATGCCTCAAGGCTTCTGCTAATTCTCAATGCTTCCCTGACTTCCCCCAAAATAAAAGCAGAGCATGTGGGAAGACAGAGGGGATGTATGACTTGATGCCTGGCTGCATGTCCACACTGTGACCCTTCCAGCCTTCTCCTGCAGGACACCAGCACCACTGCACACAAGAAAGGAGACAGACCTGAACCGACCTTAAAGAGAATCAAAAAAATAAAGATGAAGCTTAGGCCTGGGAGGTAATATGAGACTATTTTTTACTTAAAGAGGGAAAGTTCCATCCATTTTCATTAGGGAAGCACTGTGGCCGTACCTCAGCTTTCACGGAGAGAGCAAGCTCTGAAGGTTACCATACCCTTACACACTGGCAACACATAACAGTTACTGGACAGGTTAATACTCTTCTCTGTCCGGTGACTGCAGCTCCTCATTATTTTTGTAAGAAATAGGAAAAAAGCACAATTATATAATGTCAGACAAGAAAAAATACAGAAAGAAAAGAAAAAAAAAAGTCAATTTTAGTCCCATACCCATGCTCCATGCAGAAAATATCTTGACCTGCCTCACTCTCCATTTTGGGACCTCCATTTGGAATTCAAAACATCTGGATGGTTCAGTGTGTCAAATTATTAGCAATATTCAAGGAGCTGGAATGCTCTCTGCCTGCCCTACCCACACTGCTGCTCAACAGTTAAAGACTGGCAGCATCCATGTACCCGTCTCACCTGAACATAAATTTTGCAAGCACTCCCACACAGACAACCTCTTCCTCTGTAAAACCTAAGAAATGCTAAGTTTCCACAACTAGTACAAAAAAAAATTCAGCATCTCAAACACCTGCACAAATGCTCTCACTACACTTCAACAATTGATTTAGCAGAGCACCCAGGTTTCACAGTTGGTTGCCGTGGTCAGAAATAGCTGCACTGGATTGATGTTCAAGGACCACAAGCAAAAGCTCAAAATAAATCGACAGGAACAAGTCAAAATCCTTCTGTAATCACAAAATAAATTCACTGACTTCATTTCACTGTAGAGCAGCAAGCCCTGATGCTGGTGGATGCTGACGAGAGTTGAGGAAGGCCACTACTTTTTGCAGTGTAAAGTCAAGGATGAAGGATATAAAAATTTAGAGACCCGCATTAGAAGTTTCACACACTGGCAAGTTACGGGATTTTGCAGGCAGGGAGGAAAACAGACTTCAAAACTGCAATCCTAGTTATTTTTAGAGGGCCATATAATGCAGCTATGCTATAGATCTCTCCAGCTGCATCAAAGAACCAGTGTTAGCCAAATTTATTTGCCACAGAGCTCGGAGGGAGAGTGCAGCAGCAAAAGGTAAGTCTCCTTATGACCATAGCTAGAAAAACTCCACCAAGCCATACAGGCTGCAGGGGTTAATGTGGGGTTTTTTCCCTCCACCCCCTCACAAATCAAAGTTGCCACCATTGCGTGTATTCATCAAGCCTGCCTGGCCTCCAGCCAAGCCTCCCAAAGCCCATCCCAAGGTGCACTCCAATGCCCAGGCACAGGGAAGAGCCCACGCACACTCTGTGCAGACTCGGGGCAGGTAGGTGCACGCTGCTGAGCCCCATCTCTCCACAGTTGCATTTTACCTCTCTCTGTTCACTGCAGATCTTGCACAACCAAAGAGGACGTTTCTGGGCTCCAAAGGTTTCTATTCCACACTTGGTGCAAACTTTCTGCAACAAAGAGAGAAAAAAAAGAAGAAAAAAGGTGGCATTAGCAACTCCCCACAGTCATATAGCTCTTGGGAGAGAGAAGGTCAAGAAGCATCGGTCCCAACTGTTCTATTTTGCTTTCCTTAAAAACCTAAACATGGCACAATTTTCTTATTTATCCTGGAGAACCACTGATTGCAGGATCTACAGGTGCTTCAGGTCTACACTGACACAAGGCAAAGGCAACGTACAGCACAGTCCTTGACTGCAGGGTGAGAACTGGACAGAGCAAGTCAAACCCCACAACCAAAAGGCATATTTCCAGAGCCTTGTTTTCATTCCTCTAAACCCTAAAAGGCAATCATCATGGAAAGCAGCTGTAACCAAGTACAAAATGAACATGACTTTGTGCAAGACTGGAAAACCTCTACTCCCTTCCCTCACATACAGAGTCTTAAACCTCACGGTTCCCCTCCATTTCAGCACGCACTCGGCAGCTATTGATTTGTGGCTGCTTAGGAAGCTGGCAGGACCATGCCTACACGCACATTTCCCGAGCAGAATGCTTGATAGCGCCGCACAGCCTCTACTGCTGCACAAGGGAACTTTCACATCTCCGCTGGCATTACAAGCCATTTACAACCTGAATCACCTAATATTATATAATGAAGCTGATGTGTATCAGGCTTGGCTTACAGCTTGAATGAGAAATTGGATGAATTCTTTGATCCTCACAGAGCAAAAGCTACTCACAAGAGGGCCCTGGAGAGCAAAACCTTGCTTAGAGAGACATATGACTGATCTCCCCAGCTAAGGTTTTACACATCCCCCTAACTAGGCTGCTCCTCCTCTGAGCCAGGAGGTCTGTGTCCAGGCACAAATGTCTCAGTGGCTCACTCAGCCCCCAGTGCCAATGTCTGGAGGAAGAGAGCGGCAGAACGATGGTACCTGAGGCAACGGCTTCGCTGCGTGAATAAAAACACAACTATTTTGGTCAGCGTAGTCCAGAGGCAGGTCTGTCCCCAGCTCATGCTGCACAGACAGTGGGAGGCAGCATCTGCAGCCCCACAGAGGTTGGTGCTCCTCTCCATCTCTCTGTTCCTGTCCTCGCCCTCACCCTCACAGAGAAATAAGGAACAACCTGTTGGGTCTGGTGCATCAATACTCAACATGGTGCTACCCAAGCCAAGAGAGACTGCAGATGCAATTAATAGACACCACCTGAACCATCCCAAATTCTCCTTCCCTCAAACCAAAACCTGAGGGAGCAACTAAGTCTTAAATACCCTCAAAGATCCCAATCCCCACACAAATAGCACATTCAAACACTCCCTCTAGTGGAAGTTTCCAAGCGATTTTATCCCTAGCCATAAATTTTGAAAGTTCCAATATAAAACTCGCTTTCCTCCTCCCCTTCTCTGCAGACCAGTTGGAAAATTAAGCATCACTCACAACCCCTCGGAAGATGACATAAAAACCAGGGACATTTAATGCAGCCCCATTCCTCCTTAAATACAAGATAAAGCTCTTTCTTTGTCTACTTACACTTCACCTTTTACACAGGATACGGACAGCCTCTGCATGGTAAATGACACATTGTGCTTTCTCTAACTACTGCTATTGTTAACATCTGGATTTGCATACACCTCTGTCTTGCCATAATGCATGTATTTCTAAGACAATAGAAACTAATATTAAAAATGTTCTTCATAAAACAGAAAGTGGCTTTTTGAAAACCTACCAGGCTACAAGAAATACAGAACCTTTATTCAGCAGAAGGGACTTACTGAAGGTAAGTTCTTTGCTATGTTCCAGATGCATCATTACAACAATTCCTGTCATCAAAGTAAACGGGCTGCAATGAGATGGTAACAGAGCAATGCTGGCAAGAAAACGATGAACTTTAAAAATCCATAATTCCCTGACAAGTCACTGCTTCTTGCATACAACACTGCACGAGTGATTGATATCCCTGGATGAAAAGGAGCAAGCTTAAAGTAACAGCCCACTCTGTGTGCTCTGCCGAAGGATTGACTGTTCCTGAGTTCACAACATTAAACAGCAGTAAGGGGAGGAGGCCAGGGCACCCACCCAGCACTGCCCTGAGCTTGCACACAGCTGCAGAGTGCAGCCAACCTAAAAGCAGCTGCAAAATGCACAACGGAAAAGTAGGTCTCACCTTCAATCAACCTCGATGTGAATGCTCCTGGATTGCACAACAGACTCCAGACAAAAAGGGAATAACCACAAAAAAAACCCAAAACAGCCCTTCTCGTTAGTGTATGGGGCTCACGGGAAGGAGGTTAGAAAGCACAGCGGCAGTATGACCTAGCTGGCTTTGGACAAGGTGAGAGCAGAACTGCCAAAGGAATAAGGCAAGAATACAGCACATCCTGTTATTCCAAATGCTCAAAATGCAGGAAGCGGCCAGCCGTCTCCTGCCTGCCATCCAGCCCTTTATTCTCCACAGACACGTGTGCACAGAGCCCGTGCTCCTCTCCAAGAGCGCTGCCCTGTCGCTCCCATTCCAAACAGACCTTCCAGTTCCCAGTACATTACTGCTGCTTCCTTCCCCATCCCTTCCTAAAAAGCTACTTTATCACTGGCTTGGGACCCAGGGGTTCAAAGATTTGCATTTACTTTCCTGGTCACTGCCTTACAAGCAATCTTCTGCATAACCCTCGCCTCAGTCAAGCCACTTCTGTAAATTGGATCCAGCGTAGAAACTCACTCGACAGCAAAGGCAGCACAGCTCACAGCAGCTCCCTGCCCAGCGAGCACGTATGGAGCGATGCTGGGATCTCGGTTCTGACTGCAAGCGGCACCCACCTCCCTTCTGTCTCCTACAAGAACTCCAAGCCCAGCAGTGCTGCAGCCAACCGTGGACCAGCCTGGCAGCCCGCACTGCATGAAAATCTCATCTCACAAACTCCAGCAGTGCCAGCACGAAAGGTTCTCCATCGTTGCCTGTGTGGCTGCTGAACCACGGAGATGCCAACATGCACCACTCCATGGTAAAGGAGCAGGTTTTCCCCAATGCTGTCCTGTGGGCTCCACAGGACATCTCCTCAGTGACAGGGTGGCTGGCATCAGCAAGCATCTCCTTGGCTCTGGCATGCACCAGAGACAGAGTCAGCACAGACTGCTCCCTTCCACCCTACCACCAGCAAGTCAGCAGCACTCCTGCACCCAGCAGGTACCCTCACCTCTCCCCAGGCAACACGCTGAGGCAAAGTCACTTACAGAGGTGTCTCCCCGGGGAAAGATGGGCTTCAAGTGCAAGAAAAAGCCTCCCAGCAGAGGGAGGATAAGGTGGTTGCCTTGGAGATCATCATCTCCACAGCAATACAGATTAACCCCTTGGTGCAGAGTGTAGACAAGCAACAGTCGTCCCCCAGGGCGCTGGCAGAACAGCAGGCTCCCTGAAAAGTGATGCTGCCTTCCAAACAGCACCCGTGCGGTCCTGCCAACAACGCACACACACACAGGCAGTCATTGACGCACAGGCTAATTCACGTATCAGGGCTGGAAACCCTACGCTGGTTCAGAACGTGAAGATGGACTTGAGTGCTCTGAAGAGAGGTGTTACTGGAAGGTCTAAGGGCAGACCTTGCAGTAAATAACAGTAAAGCACACAGACTCTTCTATGAGTTGTCTCTGATGGCCATATGTTTCTGCCCCTTCTCCCACTCTGCAAACCCAGAGCGGGAGATGCAGAGGGCCCGATGCACCCCATCTCAGCTCTAAGTGCAGTTTAGGCACTTTAGGCTCCTGAGGAATAAGATAACCAGGGTGCAAGAGAAAACCTGATGGTCTGACAGCACTGACCTAGACAACTGGGGCTAAGGTAAGTTAACTCTGCAGAGCTACCTAGCTTCCAAGAGGCCTGGTGGCCTTTCCTAGACAGATCTGCTACCAGGAACAGGCAGGAACTTGTGTGACCAAACCCACCTTTTTGCAATCCTGACAAAAGACCGATGTGCTGCCCAGGAGTCCAAGAAGTTCACCGCAGAGCAGACACTGGGAGAGGCCGTTGCCCATCACGTTCTTTCTCATGTTCTCCAGCCGCTCCACCAGGCGCCTGCGGGGAATGAGGCAGAGCAGAGGTCACAGCACTCACCTTGGAAACTGAAGCATATGGTACCGAGGCACGCTGAAAACCTGCAGACGTGTGCTCCAGGCTCAGCCTACCTTTGCTTCTTCTGTGCAGTTCTGTGCCCCTTGCTAGGACCGTATGTACTTCAACCTCAGTCTCTGCACTCAGTGTCTCCTATCAGCTGGCTCTTGGTCTTCAGGGGATACAAACCTCTGTAAATGTACCTACCAATGTTCACCAAGCCCAGAATAATCAAAACTGTGAATACCACTGACAGGCCTGACTCAGCTCGTGGGTGCAGGGCAGACAGCTCACAAGAGGGGCTTGGTCCTACATCCTTCAGGAGCTCAGTGTCACTGTGGCCACACAGCCTCAGAAAAATGATTTCCTGCCTGTAGAGCAGGAAGAGCCTTTAGCGCTCAGATCAGGGCAAGTCAGACAGCACCAGGAAAGGGCAGAGGAGTTCACAGAATCATAGAATGGTTTGGGTTGGAAGGGACCTTAAACATCATCCAGTTCCAACCCCCCTGCCATGGGCAGGTGCCCCTTCCACCAGACCACGCTGCTCAAAGCCCCATCCAACCTGGCCTTGAGCACCGCCAGGGAAGGGGCAGCCACAGCTTCTCTGGGCAATGCCAGCGCCTCACTGCTCTCATAGTGAAGAATTTCCTTCTTGTAGCTAATCGAAATTTACCCTCTTTCAGCTTGAAGCCATGACCCCTTGTCCTATCACTACATGCCCTCATAAAAAGTCCCTCTCTAGCTTGCTTGTAGGCCCCTGGAAGGCTGCTGTAAGGTCTCCCTGAAGCCTTAGACCTGCCAAGCCCTGCTCCATTTTAACATATACTCCCTGAAAGCAGCACTGCAGGCACGTGACTTGCCCACCACCCATTAGAAGCAGGAAGGCCAGACTGAAGCCATCAGACCAAAACGAGCCCGGCTGCGGTACGGCAATGCCAGTAACTGCTCCCTGCTTCGTTTGACAGCCCGCTTGGAAGACAGGCAGCACATATGTATGCACAATGTCTGTAGCAGCAGGACTACGAAAGGGAAGCAAGGCGGGATAAGCAATTAGGATGCAGGATGTGGAGAGCATGCAGAGCGAGGCTGCTGTCATGAGATCACTGCTTGGCAATTCTCAGGCATCCATTTGTAGATGGGGACGGTAACAGCCAGGCCATTTATCAGAGGCAGCGACCAGCTGCAGCCACGCGCATGCATGGGGCTCAGGGAGGAAACACAACCCCGCTATCCATGCAACCCCATTCTCATTAGCGCTAATGTCCCATCAACCAAGTCCCGTACTGAGAGGAACGCAAGGTCTGTTTGAAAGAGGTACTGCTTACAGTGATGAGGTCAGACAGCACAGCCAGGCTGAGCCATCATTACCGGATTTATGATCCTTGACTTCAGCACAAGAGAACTCCCAGGAGTTAACAAAGGCATTTCAGAGAACGCTTCAGCATGGGAACAGCAAGGCTCTCGCTTTCTGTGGCTACACCAACAACTGCAGAGGAATGACAGGCCGCTCAGTGGGGCTGGCTGCTTCTGGGGCTGCTGGGGTCTCCCGTGTATCACAGAGACATCACCCTCAGGTCTCGTTAGCACTCACTAACGTGCACTGCACAGGGACAAAGCGAAGCACCGGGGCAGGAAGCTGGGCCTGCCGGACATGGGCTGGGACTCACTGGGGTTTCCTGTCTCGTGTCACAACGCACTGCTGGGAAATGCTGCAGGACTGCTGAACTCCACGGCTCTAAAGGCAGTCAGTGCAGGACAACCACAGACACAGCTGAAGCCAGACCTCCATCAGGACTGAAAGCAAATGGAAATCTGCAGCAGCAAAAGGATGCCTGTAAATTACTCAAGCTACCAAACCCCTTCCAGAGGGCTCAGCCAACCAGAACATAAACTCCTTCACTGCTCCAGGCAAAATCTCAGGGGGCTGCAGCTGACAAGGGAAAACTTAACTGCACTGCCAGCTTCGGTTCTGAGCCGTACCATCCACTAGCAGTGGCTGCAGCCCCACAGCTCGGCAACTTCCCCAGCCTCTTCCAGAGCCCCTGGGGCAGCTGCCCTTAGCACAGGCTGCATTTACCAGGGACTGTGTCAGCAGCTGCAACCACAGCAAGCCTCAAGGCTCACAGAAGGCACGAGAAAGGCTTGAGACATGGAGAGAAGGAAAACATCACAACCTTCCCGATGTTCATCACCTGCAAACAAGCAACATGGGAGGTGAAAATAACTGACCTAAGGGATGGTCTGACTGATGGAGGCTGAGCTCAGGCAGCCAGGAGAGTCACTCGTCTGTCTGCGCTGACCTTTCCCTCTGAGGGAAGGGGACAAATGAACGTGACTGTACCCGATGCGCTGCTGCTCGATGATGTCCAATTTCTCTGCCTTGCGGATGACTTCCAGAATGACTTCAAGCTCCTGTGGGCTCAGAGCCTGCATCTTCCTCTGCTTCTCAGTCTGGAACGTGTGCACTGACCAACCCGTCTGGAGCCTGTGGGAGGGGTGGAGGGAAGGATTAAGCTGTGAAACAAAAGCACAAAACCCCTGGCCTGCCCCACAGGCCAAACCTGCCAGGCACACAGAGCCCACGTCAGCCTTCCATCAGTGAAGTCTGTTCCCTGGCTAACGCCCAAAGCAGGAGTCTTTTCTCACTGACCAGATCACCATGTCACTCCCCCATCAGCACTGAGTGCTGCACTGTCTCTCCCTGCCCTCTCGTTTCCCTTTCTGCTCCAGTGTGTATTTCACCACTCCATGTCCTCACTCCTGTTTGGCTCTGCCCATAAAGACAACTGGTGCACCTAGGGCTGGCTATCCTGCAGGTATCGCACAGAGATGGGTGCTGATGTCAGACACCACAAATGCCAACAGCAGACTCCCGAACACACGGATTACCTGCACCCTCCTCCCTTCAGATCACACATTTCTAAGGTCCTCAGTTCAAACACACAAATCACAGGCATGCTTAGAAATATAAATTTGTTAACTTCCTCCCTTGGCCTAACCCAGGCCCGCACCAGGACTTCAGCTAGCCACTTTCCTCCGTGCCTCACGCACAGCAGCTGACATTTCTCCTTAGCTAACTTGGGGACAGGCGGGAGCTTTCACAGCTCAATTAATTACCATTCAGAAGGGGTTTAGAGGTCACTGGATAAAGTCACAGCTGCTAGCAGAATGCAGGGCATTATCAGGCACAGCTGTCTTAATGAGGCTTTCTCTCAGGTGAAGGCTAGAGAAGTGGCAGTGGTGTGCACTGCTCACCCAGGCAGTCCCCTCAGACACAGGCTGACCTCTCATTTTCTAACACTCTGCAGCAGGCTGACCCCAGAGGTTCAGACAAGAGCAGAGGTGGCAGCTATATGGTACTGGCTACCAGAGAGGGAAAGCATCCAAGAAACAAATGCAATTCTAGTGCTTGACTCACCTCCATCCCTTTTGTCTTTAGATCATGCAGTAATTTAACTCCAGGGGAAAACAAAATCAAATGACAAGTTCGTAAAACAAAAGAGTGCTGGCAGCTGGGGGATGCTATCAATTCTATTTAGGGTGCAGAAGAGATACGGGCCTGTCTCCAAGCCCTTCCTTTCACTCAGGGGAGGCTGGTGGGCCGGACTCCCACCACACATCAGCCACGCTGCAAACCCTGCTGCAGGCTGGCAGCTCTGAGCAGCAGCCAAGCACCCAGCCCCAGCTTAGCAGCCTCCTGTCCCACCCAAGCAGCATGCTTCTACGGTACAGAGGGGTCTGCGCCACGGGCAAACTCCTGCCTCCCAGCTGTGGACGAGGCCAGCGGGCCAGCGCTCCACGCAGATACCAGGAAGCCATTCAGGGCAGAGCTGAGGCTGAAGGAGAGGAGCAGGGTGGTGAGGACTCACTTGGCACGCAGTGCCAGCTGCCGGTCGTTGGGGCACACCCACTGGCCCGTCCCGCTGCCAAAAATCGTCTCAGCCATGGCACCAGGCTGGGGAGGAGAGGCACGGATCACACCTGTAAGAAGCAAACATCAGCAGTGAGCATAGCTGCCACCCCACCCTCAAGAAAGCACAGGGCAGCACTCGGCACAGCCTTATTAACCATCCCGAAGGGCCACTCTACTGGCAAGCAAAACAGAGGTGATCTGCCGGCGTCGCACACGGTGGAAGGAGACTGACTCTCACCCACAGACAGTGATAAAAACATACCATCATCCACATAAAATGTAAGCCAATAAATACCTTCAAATACCTTGAAGACAAGGCTGCAAGTTTAGATTTTATGGTACTCTGAAAAAAGCACGAGAGCCTTTGTCAGTTCTGATTTTTCATTTCAGACTAGAGAAAAAGAATTGTTTGTAAGAACGATCTGTGCCACATCACCTCTAGAGCCCCAAGGCTGCAGTGCTGACAGAGAAAGCCACTCTAAAGGACACAAAGCAGCTACAACTGCTTTTTTTAACCTCTTAATGGGGTAACAAACAAAAACCCACGCGACAATCAGCATGAATAGCGGCAAGTCATTCCGTTCATTAAAACTGCCTCCATAATAGCCTGATATTTATAACTACAGCCTACAATAGCAGCTTGTTTGCATTCTCTGATGTTTAAGACAGCACCTCTTGCAGCAGATCTCCTACCGTGGCTCCTGTAATCAGTATGGTCACACCAGTGATTCCTTGCGTTCAATGACAATTTCACTGTCAACTGAGCAGTAAAGGCAGCAAGAGCCAACTCAGCTTCCACACCCTCATGGGAAAAACACATCCCCAAAAGAGACTTTTCAGCTAAGCAGTTCCAAGTCCTACCAGCAGCTCAGATGAACGGAAAGCACCAAGGGACAGGCGCAACCAAAAAATCTGCCAGTGGAGGCAAAAACTAGTCTTGATGTACTGAGCTTTCCTCCAGCTGGATTTACTCTCCAGCAGAGCAAGTGTCCAATGAGCCCTAATGCATAAGTTTGCAAGTATTAATATTTACCCTCCCCAGAACAGATACTTGCCAGCTTTGAAACCATACCTGCTGGGCAGAGATAACATATTTAATGCTGTGTGGCAAACACAAATCAGATACACCTGCCAACTGTGCAGTAGTTCCCAAGAAAACACACGTTCCAGTCTCAATCCGCAGCACACTTACCCCAGCAGTGCCCGTGGTTCAGTGTGCTGCACCTACACTTGCTATCTACTGCTAACACACAGAGCTTTCTGCTTCCGTGCCAGGCACAGAGGCATCACAGGCTGCATGGCCTTGGCCCTCGTACACAGGCAGGCACGCAGCTTGTGCAAGTCGATCTCTCCCTCCCTAGGCTGAGCTCATATGTGCCACACACAGTGCATTCAACCCCCAGCCCAGAAACACTAACTTGTGTTAGAGAACTGACAGCTATCTTCTGCCAAACCCATGTCAGCCTTGAGAGCCAAAACGGTTGCAACCGACAAACCAGTTCCTTTCTCTCTGACCATCCAGTTTCTGGAGAGAGTCTGAAAACTCAGTGCTTACAACAGGCAGGAGAGCAGAGGAGGAATTCCACATGCAGCACGGATTTCCTTCAGTGCAGGGGGCAGATGTGTAAAAAGGGCGCAGGCTCTAGCAATTCAGCACAAGGCTCAGCAGCAGGGTCTGGCTGCACAGCAAAGCGAGGCAGGGAGGACACAAGAGGCTGCAAGAAAGGTTCAGCAAAGAAAGAGGGTTGAGACAGGAACAACAGAAGCTTTGCATACAATTTTTTAAACCTTTACTACATTAGTTGAGGTGATCACTTTTGAAAGGGATCATCCCTAGCATAAATCCTTGAACCCGGGCATCTTTGATTTACCAATTATTTTCCCCACTCTGCTCAGTGCTACACATCCTGTGGGTTGGCATTTCCATTTCGTCCCAGAACACCTCCTGCTCTTTTCATCTTCTTCACGATCTCAAGCAAGGAGAGAACGCAGTCCCTGCACATGTCCCACAGCAGCTCGCACACAGGGGAGCAATCAAGCATTAACAGCAAAAGAACATGGAGGCTCCCACCCCCGGGCCAGTGTTAGAAGCAGAGAGGAGCTACAATTTCACACAGAATGGCCGACCTGGGATTTTCCCTATATTTTCCAATCCTGTCATGTGTTGTTACAGGATTATAAGCACATGTACCGCACGCCCCCCACATGCATATATTAAATTACTTTCCAAATACACCACATATTCTTCCCTCCCACTCGTGCACACCTGAAGAATAGCACAGCCCACACACCCAGTGTCCACTGGCGAGGCTGAATGCACACAACCATACCAACGCGACCGGCGCTTGGCAGCTGTGGGATGTTTAGCACAAAAGCTAGAGCTGGAGATGAGCCCCTTGCCATGGGCAGGGCAGAGGCGTTTGCTTTGCCAGCAGCTGTGCTTTCAGGGTGGAAAGCAGTGCTGAATACAACTGCCCCTCCTCTGCAGAGCTTTATCTGCTCTAACAGAGCTGAAGGCAAGTCAGAATAGAGCACATTAGCTAAGCATTTCTCTCAGGAGAGACCTAAAGACATTCTCCAGCCTCACACCACAGTGCACTTTTCTCAGCATGACTGAACAAAAACAAGCAATGTCATGCTCTTTTGCCTCTTGTTACTCAGCATACGCTTTCTGTTCTCCACCATTCCCTAAGCAGCATCTGCAAAGCGAGAAGGAAATCAAAACACAGCCTAGAGATACATCATATCCCAAAACAGTCTTCAGACACATTATTCCCTAAAATATTTACAGGAGCATTTTCTGTCGGCAGCATTGGGTATCTGCTGCTCCCTCTGATATAAACTGGCATTGCAGGTGGCTTTGCACCTTTGCCTCAAAAAAGCCCGGTGTGATTTGACACATCTACCTTGGAGCAGGAAACAAGAATGACATGGGACTGCAGGCCACAGTCTGCTGGGGCGGAAACAGGAGCACTAGTAGGAACTGGAGGGAAAGGAACATCTTGCATGGCCACGAAAATGATGCCAGAGAAATGGTACCAGTATCTGGAAGGCACGAAGCATCCTCCCTCTTATCTCTGTACAGGACAAGAAGTACGGTGGAATCAGCCTAACCAGAAACACCAAGATAGCAAAACCACGCCAGCCTGGGGAGTCATTGCTACGGGCTGTGGTGAAACATCCCTCTCGTAGTCAGCCTCCACTGCCTTCTCTCACAACAACGCTCCAGTTAGCACCTACCTCACCGAGCCATCCCCTCCCCATCCTCCACTCCCCTCAACAAGCTAACAAAGGGCAGAAGCAGGCAGTCTCTAGCAGCGAGAGAGCAAGAGAAATTCACAGCTCTTGGCCCTGCTGCAAGTACACTGCATACAGAGTAAAGGGGAAGCACAACTACTAAGTGTTACAGAAAGATTTCCCACTCCAAGATTCCGCTTTTTACTTGAATAAAGAATTAAAAGGGAGCTCTTATTGATACTCTATGACCTGCTTTAAACCCCCCCCACCACCTGTTTGTTCCTTTCCTGTGATGGAGGAAATCGTGTGAAGCAAAACCTCATTAAATCTGAGTCCACCTGGCTGCTCTTGGCACAGAAGCTAAGGGGAGTGCTGCAAGGAAGGAGCATGGCCCTGCAGAGAAGACAACCCTTCACATGGGGCCAGGAGCATTCTGGAGGATGCGTAACTGAGCACATCTCTGCCTGCACGTCTGACATAGCGCTGCTTCTGCTGTCTCCATGATGAGACTTGGGCTCTGCAGCCAGAGAACATGACTCCAGTCTGAGAGGCAGAAATCTTCAGGTGGGGTCTGAGTAAAGGAAACAGCAGCAGGGTCACACTGGCAGCTTGGCCCAACACCCCTGCAGAGCAACCACAAGACAGCACAGCGAGCAGCATCTTTCCCACTTCTTGGCCTGGAGGATGACGGTGGGCTGCAGCTGGCGGTGGGCAGCACACCCCCAGGCGCAGGCCGGGGAGAGGCGAGCGCCCTTCCACGCCACCCCACCAAGCCCCACAGCCACGCACCCTGGG